GTCTCTCTCTCTCTCTCTCTCTCTCTCTCTCTCTCTCTCTCTCTCTCTCTCTCTCTCTCTTATTTCCCTCTCTGTAAATTAACTTGCTATTCGATTGTGACTTTTATTCTTATTGGATCTGTCTCATCTTTCATAATTAGCATAGTTAATTGATTGATTTGCATTAATTTTAATTTTTTCACTTTGGTGTCTTGGTAAAATTATTACTTCCCTAAGAAATATTTACTCCATGTTATTTTCTTGTTAATTTATGGCAGCAAGCGTAGATTTTATTTTGTTGTTCAAACATATCGAGATCTGAAATGGGACCAAAAAAAAAAAAAGTACGTATTAGAAGTGCAAGAGATGCAACATTTGCACACTAATAATTTGAGCAGTAGGCAGTTAAGGCTCATAAAAATTTAAGAAAGTTTTTGTTGGATTGAAATCACTGAAGTTATCGTACAGTTAGGACCCTATTTTTTTTCTCTCCCTCTTTGTATGATTATTAGACCTTTAATGCCGTTATATAGTTAACACCGTTGAGATTATATTTTTATACGTATCTAATTATATGCATTGATTAATGATGCTTGGTTCCGCAGAATCCGACATTTTTTTTAGATTATGTCTTTATGATATGAAATGTTTATGTTATTATATTGCATTTAATACCTATGACTTATCTTAAAATTTAACCAACCTATTTTTTGCAACATTTTATCTAGTCATTTGATGCAACAATTTGGTCGCAAACAATATTTATCTGATATTTATTTATTTCATAAGTTAAGGTTGCCCTCTTAAAACATTTTAGGGTTTCCTTGCTTTATGATTTTATAGGATTGTTTTTTGTTTCTTTACGTTATTTAATTTGGGATGGGAATCTGAACTTTGCAATTTTTAATAGAGTTAAGTTTGGAATTACCATTAGATTATACATGTAATCACATATTGTTTTTTGTTTCTTGAGGTGTAAGTGGTGTTTTTTCTTTTTTTCTTTTTTTAATGATCAATGAGGAGGTATATGTTGGCTGAGTGATTTAGTTTGATACGATCCTTACTAGGTAAACATCTATAAATTTCCCCTAATTAGAGGTTTCTTTGTCCAAAAAAAAAAAAAAAAATCCTTTAACCAGGTAAAATGCGTTTTATTAAAGAAAAAAAAAACATTGCATAGGTTCAGTGGAAAATCTAAGCCTCAAATTAGAACCTTGTGGGTGCGTTTAGAATTGGTTTTAAAATGATTTTGTTTGCAATAAAAAAGTAAAAATGAGATTGTTTTAAAAATCATTTTAGGACCGATTCTGAAATTGCGTTTGATTGGTTTTTTAAGAGATTATTTTGAGTATAATAAAAAAATAAAATTGTGTTTATTAATTAATATATTATAATATTATTGATTAGTACTACAAAATAAAAACAGAAAAGTGAAAAAAACTTTCAACTATTTTCTAATTCCTTCACAAAAACATTCTCACTGTTTTCGTTCACATTTTCGTTTTCAAAACATTTGTTAAATAAACGTCGTTTCGTTTTCATTTTTATTTTTAGCTTCTTAAAATATGTGAAAACCGTTTTCAAAACCGGTTCCAAACACGCACTATATGTTCTTATCCAAAAATGAATAACCATGTAGTTAAGTCATTCTACAAAAATAAAAAATAAAAAATCTACATGTTCCGTAAATATATTTTTTTACTTTATTAATTCACGGATAAGATGTTGGAGTTGCTGGAGGATGAATTTTAATTGAGATGTGCTAGTTATTTCTGATACTAATTGTTTTTTTATTCATTTGTAAAATGTATTTTGAAATTCAATCAATCATGCGTTTTTTCCCCTCCTTTCTTCAAATAGTAGATGAGTATAAATATAGATCGTCATCGTGTTGATGTACAACATAGCACCGTGAATTTGACAACTCCGCAATCCTGTACAGTCAAGTTCATACTGTTCTCTATATAAAATCATCATAATAAGTAGGGCCTTTCCTTTTTATTAATTTGTACTTATAATATAGTTCATTACTACATAAAAAAGTGCTTTTTCCAGCCCAAAACTAACAAATTAAAATTGTTCTTTAGATAGCATAAGAAAAGTAACATTTAACATCTGTTTGTATTGCAAATTTTAAATTACAATTCTCAATTTGAATTGAGAATTTAATGCAATTTTTTCTTTTTTGAAGTTTGAACCTTACTCATTTCTTTTTCTCCCGAACACCAATCTAGATTAAATTAGACTAGAATTAACTATTAGTCTTACCTTAATAACTCTAGTAATTACAAAAAAAAAAAAAAAAAGCTTAATCAAACTTCTCTATTACTTTCCTCCCTAAATAGTCTCAGCATTGTCTTCTATCTAACGTATAATATATGTATATTAATTTTATATTGTATAATTTATCAATTTTATTTGTTAAAAATGAGTTGTTAATTTTCAACTCTTACTCAACGTGATTTTTATTCAGGAACGCCGAGTACAACAACAAGAGCAATAAGAAATCAAATCTGAAGACAATGAGTTCGCCTTCTCTACCCTTTTCAAACAAGGCCCTAGTAAGCTCACGAAGATTATCACAGCCAAAACAATCAAGAAATCTTGGTGGATCTTCATCAGTATTAATTCATTCAGCAACACAAACCAAATCCTCCACCCTCCACGTTGCGGCTGGCGCCAGCAAAAACCCACCACCCGACTACTCCCCGAAGCAGGTTCTCATTCTCATTACTTTATTTTAAACGTCGATTAAACTACGTCTATCAGCGCGTTTGACATAATTGTATTTGTAAAATTATTGCACAATTTTTATATTTTAAAAAACTAATTCGTGTTGTGCCCTTTTTTCTTCCGTTCAAATAAACTATACAATTATTGCTCAAATTTTTATAGTAAAAAAAAAAAATGTTATTCAATGTTGTGTGTGTGTGTATTGATGCGATAGATTGTTAACATTTTCTGCTATATATAGATAACCTTTTGTACTCTATCACATATTAGATTGTATTCTGATACGTATCATTTGATAAATATCTAATACCACATAATGCAGGTACCAAAATATGATCAGGGATTTAGGAGAACTGAAACTACTTCAGAGAAAAAGGAGTCATGATCATATCAAGGGCTCAGTCAAAAGCCCTCCTGTGATTGGTCCAAGACCAAATCCCCAAGCTGGAATCCTGGGCAGTCCCCACACGCTACTTGCACAATATTCTCTTAACTGCGTTCAAGTATCAATTTTTATCCCAACTTTTGTAGACCACATGTGACAAATAAGTTGTCATAAATATATATATTTCTTAATAGCAACCAATTTAATAATTCTGTTTTTTAGAGTTTTTTACTGTAACAAAACTTAAATTTTAAACTCTAATCGGTAAAATAAACGGGATCTAAATAGAGGGGTGGATGCAGCAGTTAAAGATATGTGTCTTAAGGGCAGTAGCACTTCAATTCGTGGACCAGATTTGAGAGTCCCTAAAGCTTCTATTATTGATGATATCAAAGAAGCTTTTGTTCAAGCTACTTGGAGTTCTGTTTGGTGTTTGCCACATTCTCCGTCAAGGTAATTCTGCAGCTTACTGTTTGGCTAATTTTACTTGTAGATAATCACAAAATTTTCATTAATTTGACTTTCTGCCGGACTTTATTAACAATTGAGGAGAATTTGGTTAAAATAACCAAGTGAAAAAGTAAAATTAGGAAAATGACTTTTTAATTTTAATTTTATATATTTCCAGAGAAAGTTTACTGCCGGAATCAATGGCACTTTTGCAAAATCAAAAACCAAGATTTCAACTCTAATCTTGTGCCAAATCACAGATCGGATAATGTCAACGCGAAATCCGGCAAGATTGGGGCTGAGCTCCACTCGATTGGGGCTGGGAGTTTGTCGAGAGTTGCAGAGGAAAAATAAAGGGAACTCACACCACTCTCTCTCTCTCACTGCTAATCCTAACCTCGGAGCCAGACTGCTCCTCCTCCTTCGAGTCTAGAGTGAGAGTGGAGAGGAGAGAGATTGTCATATTTTAAAAGAAAGACATTTTGCAAATAAAAATTTTTGAATTGTCATTTTATGAATAAAGTTTTTCTATTAGATTATTTTTACAAAGGGCTCATAATTGAGTAATAAAGTCTATTTTCACTTAAAAAAAAAGTTCTTCACGCCATCCAAATGCACCATATATACAATGTGAAATAATTCGTAAAACGTTTTTTTTTTTTAAATAATTCCTAAATTGACTAAGTGTAAGCAAGTAAACAACATCTCTTTAATAATAAAGAATAAAGTAATTTAGAAACCAAAATTAATTAATTTAAATAGTGCATTTATGATACTTGTTACCAAGTAATTAATGTAAAACTTACAATAAAAAAATTGTGTAAAACTTATGAGGGAGAGAATGATGACAAAATAGTCAGCATTGAAAAACCATTCAAATTTCAATTACTTATTAAAGGAGTGTAACACGTATAATACACTCAAATTACTGAATAATTTCTCCTTTACATGATGTAAATAATGAGAAATGAAAAGGCTGTTAGTTATTAGCCTTTTGCAACATTTATAAGAATTTGGGGAGCTACTTTCCCCAAAAAAAAAAATCAAATTACTACTTATTTTGGGAATCAAATGAACAATTTACCCTTTTAAAAAAATTAGAAAACAAAAAAGCTATAACAAACCAAATATTTGTTTTAGTATATCCACATACTTTAGTTATACAAAGCCAAAAAAAAAAATAAAGTAAAATAAAACAAAACAAAACAAAAAACAAAGTAACACACCAAACTAAGAAATCACATTACCGAAATTTAACAATATTCTCAACAACATAAAATCAAATTAGCTAAAAAAATTTAACATTTAATATAAAACAATTACAAAATGGAAACTAAAACGGTCAAACCTAATTAACCTAATAATCGAATAAACCAAACTTCTTCTTTTTTTTTTTTTTCAAATTCCTCTACACACACACACACACACACACACACACACACACACACACACACACACACACAAAAAAAACTTGAATCCAAATACTTATCGTCATCATCACAAATCAACTCGAAATAACATGTTAACATCACAAACCATGTTGAATACATAATTCAAAATCATCCAAAACTCGCTAATTATAAAACCAACAAATAATTAATTATATCTAAAACTTAGGACGCATTTAGAATTCGTTTTAAAATGATTTTATTTTTTGTATGAAAATAAAAATGAAAACATTTTTAATCTCAGACAAAATTTATTTTTGAAAATGCATTTGATAATTTAATCAAAAGATTATTTTTAGCGTAAAAAAATCTATTAATATCTCTCTTTCTCTCTCTTTACTTAAGAGAAGAAAAAATGAAAACAAAAAATAAAAAATGACTAAAAATTATTTTTTATTTTTTTCTCATTTTGTACTAAATTAAAACATTATTTTTATTTTTTATTTTTTATTTTTATTACGTTTTTATTTTTTCTTAACGGGATCAATTCCGGCCAAGTTTTGGACTTTTCCCGCGAACAAAAGGAACAAATATAAGACAAGCTGAAGCAACAGAGCTTATAGTGCGATTTCTAGCGTTTCAAATCTACGGTGGACCACGAAGCCACGTCATAATCAAATCTACTAGTGAGCCCTCGGAATGTAAAAGCCGTCCGATGAGTTTGATCCATGATGCAAACAATTCGAGTACGGTCATTTCGTTCATCGCAAAACTTTCCCGCCTTTTCTAACGGAAACTCATCGGTCCAAGTGCACTGTAACAACCTCACAGAACCATCGTTACACTTAGATTTTTCCTCACCTTTACGCGCGTGATACACACTCCCTTTACAAACTATATATACTGTTCCCCTTCTTTAGTCCCTCATTTTCTCTGATCAGTCTTTTGAGCTTCCAAAATCTCTCTCCCATGGCTGTCACTTCATCTTCCTTCGCTTTTCTTCTTTTCTCCATCTTTCTCCTCCACTTCTTCATTGCGACAGCCATTGAAGGCCAGGATGGGAGCTTGTTCACCGATCCAGTATCTCTACCACCACTGCCGTCTCCGCAAGACGGAAACCTCATCCAAACCGATCAGCAATCCTTCTTCGCCAACATCGCCATCCTTCCGAAGATCCTCTCGCAGCTCGGCTTCCACGAGCTGGCCATGGCGGCGCCGTCTCTCTCCGACGCTTCCGCTACTGGCTGGTTCGGCCCTTCCACTCTCTTCGCTCCATCCGACGACTCGATCCTCTCCTGCGTCTCCTGCTCGGTCCAAGACCTCCTCCGCGAGCACCTCGTCCCTGGTCTCTTCACAGCGGAGTATCTCCGGAAACTCGCGTTCGGCACCAAGATCGAGACGCTGAGCCCCGGCCGGTGCATCACTGTCACGTCCGACAGATTCGGAAGCGGCGGCGACAACCAAACGGCGACATCTTCCAAGGTTTTCATCGGCGGCGTGGAGATTACGCAACCGGATCTGTTCAACAATGGCCTCGTCGTCGTTCACGGACTCCAAGGCTTCATCGCTCCTCTCTCGCCGTTCTCTTGCGACGTGGAAAGGATGAACTCTCTCACCTTCCCGTTCAATCCTGATCTTCATTTCCACCGCCACAGTTACCACCACCACCATCACCATCGCCATCGCGGTCGTGATGGTGATCTGCCGCGGCTTGGTGATTATGCTAATCCGTTTGCGACGGTGCAGCCTACTATCATGCGCCTGATGCTCAGAGACGCCATGCTTAGACTCCGCAGCAACGGATTCAGCATCCTCGCGCTCGCCTTGAAGGTCAAGTACGCCGAGCTCGTGAACCTGAAAAATATGACGGTGTTCGCGATCGACGACGTCTCTATCTTCTCCGGTTCGCACTCCTATATCAGTAACGTGAGGTTCCACATCGTGCCGAACATTCTTCTGTCCATGGCGGATCTTGAGAAACTCCCGGTCGGGACCATTCTGCCGACGCTAGTGGAAGGTCAGGTGCTGGTCGTCACCACCGCCGGAGGTATGATCTTGTCGCCGTTGAGGATCAACTACGTGAGGATCAAAGTTCCTGAGCTGATGCGGAATCTGAAGATAATTGTGCACGGATTGTTCCTGCCATTCCCTCACATTACTCCCGGCACCGGTGAGTACGATGAGATCCTCGGAGGTGGAGAAGGAATATCAGACGTGCAGCCGGATCGGCAGGTGTCTGATCGGACGGCGGAAGGAACTTGTTATCCTGGTCTGTACAACGGAGATGGAGGAACTTGTGTCCATCGTGAGGTTGCCGCTATGCCTCCGGCCAAACTGACGGAGGAGATCGAAGATCATCACGGCCTGTGAGTGTGAGTGGACTTAACTGTCTTTGTCACTTCTTTGACTATGGTTAACGCCTGGTCTTGTTTCGTACTAATGTTAGTTCGCATGCTGTGTCCGTACAGATTCTTCATCCAGTGTGTAATTTCCTTCGTGGTTTGTTTTGTTTGTTATTTTCCTGATGAAAGCTAGTGGTGTTTCAGTGTTTCGTCTGTGTAATGATTCTGTTTGAGCACTTAATCCTGTTCTTAGCTCATTAATAAATCAAAGTCTTCGTTTGTATTCTTTCTTTTCTAATTGTTTTTCTTTTATTACAATTAGCGATTATGAATCTTGCATGTCTATGAAAATGCACATCCGAAATATGAAAGAAATTAAGAAAGAAAGAAAGAAAGAAGATATACGTAAATAATACTGTTACTGATTAACGAAATGCACACAGGTTGCTCAGTAGGCACTCTTCCTTGATCAGAAGTATTTGTTATTGTTTTCTTTTTTAAAATAATAATAATAATAATAATAATAATCATCATCATCATCATCATCATCATAATAATAATAATAATAATAATAATCATCATCATCATCATCATAATAATAATAATCATCAACATAATCATAATAATCACAATAACCATAATAATCATAATAATCACTGTCATCCTCATGGTGCATGGGCCACTAATAATAATAATAATAATAATAATAATAATAATAATAATAATAATAAGATTTGGTTGGAATTCTACTATATAATTTGATGTTTACCTTTCTTTTGTTCTTTTGGTTTTTTTTTCTACCTAATTGATTATATGTTTTTTTTAACAACTTTGGTGCGTGTAATCAACAATTACTTCCCAATATTGACCTTTTCCATATTTCATACTTTATTTTTTTGTGATTAATTTCGATAATTAAAGCTTCTGATCTATCGAACTTGTTACAACTTTGCTACTAAAAATATTTCGCCCAAATTATAATCACGTAGTTTAACTAAACAATGTGATTCTTCATACACCATGAATTGGGTTTTATTGATGTTAGATCGTCTCCAACGTAAATGTGACTATCAATATTATACTTAGCAAACAAAAAGGTGATATTGACATATTTAATATGTAATTCTATTTTTTACTCCAATGGATAATGTTGTTTCAAATACTATAATATCTCTTTCTTGTCACGGTTATATTAAGCTTTGAAAAGTGAACTTTTTAATTTTTAAATAATTTATGAAATAAAAATATTGTAATCATTAACTGATAAAGTGAATATATCATGCAATAATAACAAATGCTAAAATTTGGCAATATCTTATATTTAATGCCAAAAATATATAACATATGTGAAACTTAGTACCAAGTATAATATTATATTGTAGAGTGATTTTTTTTTCAAAAATAATAGAAAATAGGCTAATATGAAAAACTTAAGGAAGTATATAGGTCAACTTTTAGTTATATAAATTAATAGGCCATAAATTGTCAAGTTATGGTTCATAACCAGATAAATTATGAACAAATTTGTCAAGTTATGGTTCATAACCAGACAAGTTATAGATAAAAATTGTGAATTATGGACAATAATTTATCAAGTTATAATTTATAACTAGATATGTTATAGACGTAAATAATAATTTAGTATATTTATTAATTTATGTAAACTACATCCCATCGGTTAAGAAAGCCAGGGCTTTTACTGGAAAAAGGCCCAAGCAATGGGCCGCTCGGTCGGCGGTTGCAACCTCTTAGTAGTAGGAACCCACAAAGAGGAAATGCATCGTAAAGAAGAAAATAAACTAGTTACGGCTTTCAAAAAAAAAAAAAAAAAAAAAAAAACTTGAAGAAAGTCTCCAATCCGCAGGGCATATATATCATTCTGAGCAAAAAGAATTTTGCAATCTCTTTCTATTTCAACCAACTCACCACTCTTTCGACAACTTGTCCGAGCTAGAATTGGCTTTCCAAAAGAGTCACATGCCACCATACCAAGAGCCGCTTCTCTGTTCTTAAAGGCAGCATCAAAATTAATTTTGATGACTCCTGACTTGGGCGCATGCCATTAAACAACAATTTATTATCGCATTAGGGATGCTCTTAATATGAAATTCTTATTAATCATATAGTTCTGAAATTGGGCCACAACTTGTACATGTCATCGCAAAACTTTTATATTCAAAAAAATTAAAAAATTAAAAATAAAAGAGAAAAAAAATTAAAAACGTCACTTAAGACAGTTAAAAATATTATTTGAGTCACTTCACTCAAAAATAAATAATTGTCATTCAATTAATAAAGAGAAAATAAAAGGCAGAATGTCATCTAGTTATTTAGAATGACGTAAATAGTAGTATGAATGAAATTATAGCAAACCATGTGCTTATCTCTTTGCCATGTTTTTCTCAATTTTATAAACAAGAGGGAATTATTGGACTTAACTTTAAGAGTGCATGAGTGTTGATTTTTACTATTTACTTTTAACAAGTACTCTTTTAATAAATTAATTATTTTATTAAAAAAATATTAATCAAGAATATGGAGTAAAAGTTTATATTCATATACTCTTATAGGTATTTGTCTACTTTTTTAAAAATAATATTAATTAAAAATAAAGGATAAAAATATAGATTCGGGAACAAAAATCACGAATCTTTATGGGCTTTCACATACCTTTCTTGGCCCATAGCTTTTTTTAAGTGAAATTGTCCATATTTTACACATCTGGGCTTTGGCATTCTCCAGACTAGCACTCTCGAATGAAGCGAATGACAGTAATTAATATATTATATAATTAATTAAGAATTAAAAAATTAAGATAAAATTATAGACTTTACTTTAAAAAAGTGTATAAGTTTAAATTTTTACTTTTTATTTTTGATAAATATTTTTTTATTAATATAGTTATATAAAAAGACTCAATACATTAACTAAAATATCTCATGTAGTGTTGAACTTTTAGACGGGTTGTCCGTGATTGTATGAAAAAATTGAACTTGCGCCTGTTGCCCGAGCCCGCCCGCTCAAAAAATTTGGGCTGCCCACCCGAGCTTGACCTCCACCTTGAACGGGCTTTAGGCAGGTCTTGACTGCCCGAACCCCAGTCGGGCATCCCGAGCCCGCCCAGGTTGCCTGAATATTTAATATATTTTTTTATATTTTATAATATTGTGTCTATATATTATATATAATATTTTTTATTAATTATATTTGTATATAAATAATTATTAAGTTATTTATTATAAAAATTATATAAAAACTATAATTAAGATTAAAATCAACACACACTATTAAAATAAATACTATTAAAAAATTTCAGACGAGCCACTCTGGCTGGCTTTGGACAATGGGTTTTCCACGGCGGCGGGCTTGTATTTTTGCTTCATTTTTGGGTTGCCTGAGCCCAAGCCCTACCTAGAACTTGGGCGGGCAGACTTAGGGCTCTACCCGCCGAGCCTAAAAATTTTTGGGTTTCGGGCGGGCTTTGAAAAATGAATTTTCCACGGCTTGTATTGTTGCTTCATTTTTGGGCTATCCGAGCCTGAGTCCTACTTAAAACTTGGACAGACAGACTTAAGACATTACCCGCCGAGCCCAAAAATTTTTGAGCTTTGGGCAGGCCCACGGCCCGTTCTTCCAGCACTAATCTCATGTAGTGAAAAAGCAAAAAAAAAAAAAAAATCAAATAAGCACTAGACAAACAGTTCGGATTCATTTACCCCTGTAGCGGGCCAATTTTATTGGTCCAGGAACTTTGAGTTTATTATTATTATCTTTTCTTTTTCGGCTGACACAGAGTTGGATGCGTTGAAATAGGTCTGGTCCCTAGAGTAGTTCTGGTCCAAACTAGAGAAAAACGAAGGATTGATTAACAAGTCAAAGATGGCTTAATAGTTCAAAAAAAAAAAAAAAGAAAGAAAGAAAATAAGACTGGTCAACATTATTATTTTTGAAACAACTTGCTCATCCGATGGTTTCGGGATAACGACAAAAGATTTGTTGACAGTTGACACATCTACAACTTGGTAGTTGAAGATCATCGACATTAGCTTCTTCAACCACAAAAAAAAAAAAAAAAAGCACTTGAAACACTAATGTATACGCATTAAAGTTGCTCAAAATAATGCGACACATTTATCACTTTCATTGAATATATGTAGAGTACTTCTAAAACTATGGTTAAAAACAGTTACATTATTATTTACATTATTATATATTCTTTTTTTAATTAGGCATGTTTACCAAACGGAACAAGAATATAATGTGACTGGAAATGGAATTGAAGGAATAAAAATGATTTTTTTTCTTTTTTTAGTAACTATTTATCTATTAGATTGTGTAATATTAGAATGAGAAACAATATCCTTTTATCTTTGCTAATATTTAATAAACTTTATAATAAAAATGTTATCAATATTACTAACTGAAGTATCATTTTACATAATTAAATAAACCTTAGTTTTAATTTAACATGTTAACTTATCAACAATGTGTCAATAATTGTCATTCATTCGTCTTAAGTGAAAATTAAATAACCGGGTAGGTGTAAAAAGTGACATTTCCTTTTCTCATTCTTTAATATTATATATAATCTACCAAACTAGCACTCCTAATTTTATAAGTACACACAAAATTACATGTCGAGGGAAATATGGTAAGTACACACATATTGATCGTTTTCCCTTTTCCTATTTCATGGGAAGTAATGTACACGCTATATGAAATTAAAGAAGGTTTCTGTTGTAATTTACTCTCTCTTTTAATAAAAAATCATTGTCGTTTTATATAAAAAAAAATAAAGAATGTGTAACAAATAATTTTTGATATTCACCAACATGGCCTAATTATAATTATGATCATGGCAATCTCAATCCCTTACTTGCACCACACCCCATTATAGAAGTAGGCAGCTTTCCAACCCTCTCAATCCCTTCCTCAAACACAACCCCCATTCCCATATAGAAATGTGACTCAATATGACAATGGAAAGCCCAAGCTCCGGGGTTATCGGCCACAAACCTCAAAGCCGTCCAACCATAACGATGTACAGGCACAGTGTTCTTCTCTATCGGATTCGCCAAGTTGTAGTTTTTCGGGTCCTTGGATATGTCGAATTTCCCACTCCCATGACCAAGCACCCAAAAATCGTGCCCATGAAGATGCCACGGATGTGTCTCACTGTCGTTCACATTCATGGTGTTCGCATTTTGTAGTATAACATCCACTGTCGTATTGAACTTCAGCCTATAGATTCCACTACTGGTGGTTGCATTGCTATTGTTTTGCTTCACATAAATGTCATAGTTCTTGAAATCGTATCCGTCCGGAGGTGGGGTTTGGTCAAATTCCTTGGTCAAGTTATGCTTGAGGGCAATGAGGTAAGGCGTGTGAGGGTGATCAAACGACACGTTGTTTACCGACCACCGCCGGTACCCGTTGACCTCGTTTTGCGTGTTCAAGAGGACGATGACACGGTCGGAGGTCGCAGGAGGGGCTCGGCCGTGGCCTTGGCGGGCCTTGATGGAGAGGCTTTGGGCCAGCCGGGGAGCGACGTCGTCCCAAAGGGGCCCCACCGGCGGGGACGTCGGAGGGGACCTCCGGGGATGGTTCGGGTAGTAGTTGAAGATGGCTAAGCCGGGTGTCGTTTTTGGCTTCCGGCTTACTACGTTTGTTTGGATCCAGTAGTTTCTTGAAGGGTTTTGATCGGCTTTTATTAGGACTGAGTATGTCTCGCCGGAGTAAATGAAAAGGCTTTTTACCACAAATGGCTCCACGTAGTGTCCATCTGCTTCTACCACTGTCATGTTATGACCCTGCAAAGTCAAATTATGTGTCAACTTATGATTATTGATTATGTGGGTGCTAAATATTTTGTTTGAGGCCACACATAACAAGTACTTGGACATTAGAGTTTGTATGAAGACATTTAAGTAGATAGTTTTAAAATTTCTTAAGATTTGAATACACTTTTAATTGATAACTATATCTATATTGACTACCACCAATGGGTTACTCACTTTAGATTCCCTGTCCAACTAACGTATTGTTATGCAGCGTTAGGTGAGTGGTGACATTAGTGAAAATTAGACTCATTTTTTGACTAAAATTAGGTTGGATCCTTTTTGTTCTATTGGTGGGTCCTAAGATTTGGAGAATCATTTTTTGTCAAGAAAGAAAGAAAAAAATATATATACTAAATTTGTCAAAAAAATGACTCACTTTAGATTCCCTGTCCAACTAACGTATTGTTATGCAGCGTTAGGTGAGTGGTGACATTAGTGAAAATTAGACTCATTTTTTGACTAAAATTAGGTTGGATCCTTTTTGTTCTATTGGTGGGTCCTAAGATTTGGAGAATCATTTTTTTGTCAAGAAAGAAAGAAAAAAAAAAAATATATATATATATATACTAAATTTGTCAAAAAAAATGATCCTCCACTGTTATATGATATTTATTCTGTGTACAATGATTTTAAAAGGGAGGGTCCTTGATGCTTGACATATAATATTTTTTTATAAAATTATTATTATACATACTTCACTATTTTCTGGATGCTATAAGTAAAATCAGTCCTTTTAATTATATTTTGCTAATTGGTTATAAAAAAGGGCAGCAAAAGTTAAAGCTTTATTTTTGGGATGTGAAAGAAAAAAGTAAACAAGTTTGAAAATTGTGTTGGATAATTAGTACAGATAGTCCCTAACATCTTTAGTAGGTGACAATTTGATTCATACTCTTTTAATTTTAACAAAATGATTCCTAACGTCATTAAATAAGTATAATTAAATCATTTCCGTCTAAATCTATTAAATTATCCACATTAAAACTCATCCGTGTCAACAACGCATTAACTAACACCATCCGTGAGAAGAGAAGTGTTGGAGACATAAATGGTGAGACCACTAACTTGTGTTGGCGGGACCAAAGTAGCTCCAACATTATCTAGAAAACCCCACCGGAAATTATGAATACTTAACGAAAATATCACAACTTTAATAATAATTTCTTTGGGCAGAAAATTTATACGGGACAAAAAAGAAATTAATACCTCTACTTGGAAGCTAAGGGCAGATAGACCAGTTAAGCTGGCGACTCTTAATCGATATGTCTTTCCTGGGATTACAGTCAACACGTATGGAGAGCACTCTGGATTTGATGGAATACAGACACCATTAGAGTCTGAGCTTGCAAAAGTCAAACTAGAGCAGTTGAATTTCCCTCTTCCTTGTATCAGCAGTGACTGAAAATTTAATAGTTCAAAGATATTGAAACTTTCTCGTGAATAGCAAATTTTCCTGACGTGAGTTTTAAGATAAAGCACAATACTATTAACAAAGAAATGAAAGTGAAAAAATATACGGAGGTAGAACATGGTTTTTTTTTTAACCATAAGATATCACCAACTCGATTAAGTTATCTATTTTTTATTTAATATATTGTCATGTCTTGTTTAATGTAATGTCATTTTTATATCTATCAAGGGTTAAAATATGTGTCTTGTCCTACAACAGAATTCTCTTTATTACAATCCGTTTGTTTTGCGAATTTAAACTTGAATTAAAACTTTCTAAATTTCTATTCAAATTTATGAATGAAACGGGCCATTAATTACCTGAGGCTCACCAACCCAAGAAAAGTTTGAGGAGGACAAGCCAGAGGCTTGTTCATAAGCTGTGCTGTGGTACCAATCATTGAGGATTATGCTTCTATCATAGTCATAAGCGAATGGCTCCGACTCTCCATCAGGAAGTGCCACTCGAATAGAACCATACAGACCTGCTTCTCTTTGCATCCCATAATGGGCATGGTATAGATATGTCCCGGGCTACAAATTTTTAAAATAAAATAAAAAATCTTAATATTAAAAAAAAAAGTGTTTATTATTGACAAAATAATAATAATAATAGCCAATTTGATGACCTAGTCTCATGTAATTAATTACCCTATCAACGATGAACTGATATTTGAAGGTTTCTCCAGGCAATATTGGGCATTGAGTTACCCCCTCTGTTCCATCAAACCAAGGTGTATCAATCTGCAGAAAGATTAAACCAATTATAACAACCGGATTAAGAAAACACCCATGAAAAACCAATCATAATTGTTCAGAGTTTTCCGAGGCAGAACATGAAAAGGTTAGTTATGTTTTATTTTTCAACTGTCGAGTCTGTACTAAAAACTGTTTTTTCTGTATTTTTTTTTTTATTTTAATGTAATTTTTATCCTAAACTTTCAATAAGACGCTAACAGTAGAAAGACCGTAGCTGTTTTGGTTTTAAGGATATTGAATTCACCTGTCTTATCCCGTGCCAGTGAATTGCAACATTTTCGGTGTCCAAACTGTTCTTGAGCTCAACGACGATTGTGTCGCCCTTTTGTGCCAATATTGTGGGGCCCGGACTTCTTCCATTAACGGTGATGACAAGTTTCTTAAAGCAATCAGGAGACCTGTACTCGTACTTCGCCTCCCATTTGTAATGGCGAATCCTTGCTTCCACCGTCGGAACATTAACAACGAAAGCCACAAGTAAAGAGAAGCCCACGAGAAGAAGTGATTTTAAAAACATTTCTCTAATGATCTCTTTCTTTCAATAATTATATGATAGCATGAATTGGAATATAATAAGATCAGAAGTTGCTCAACAATATATATGGTGGTTTCTTATTGATAGTATATATCAACTTGTGTGTCTATATGTATATATATAGTAGGGGAAAGTCAAAGTCTTATATTTGTTTTGCTTCTCTTCCTTATGAAGTATTTACTTTTCGTTGATTTGTTTAAGTTGCCTTCAATTATGGAAAACATCGAATTTTCTTGGGAGTTTCTTTTTAGGTTTAATAGTTGGGGAAAGTCAAAGTTTTAATTACTTTTGGTTGATTTGTATGAGTTGCATTCAATTATGGAAAATATCGAATTTTCTTGGGAGTTTCTTTTTAGGTTTAATTAGTCCCCGTTTATTTTACTGATTTAATTCAGTTCATCAACTCAGTTTGAACAGTGGACATAATTTGAACTAATATTTAGTACGCATGTAGTTTAAATTATATTTCTCAATTTAAACTGAATTAAACAGTCTAATTTATAGTTTAGCTCACCCATCAAATTCATCTGTTCAAACCATTTTTAAACAGTAAAAATATCTCAATTCTCTGTTTTTCACACCTATTAAACATAAATTTAAATTTTATTCACTATTTAAATTAAAATTTTAATTACACATTCAAACGTTAATTTAAATTACAATTTAAACCGTATAATTAAAACTTTTTTTGTTCATATTAAAAAATTTAAATCAACAAAATGAATCAAAAGGCTAACTATTTCGGAATAATCATCAAATTTGACACGTGGAGTGTTGGTACTTGAGGTCCCGCCTCTACAATATCGTGGATTTTTATAAAGTGGGAAAGGGGAGGACAGGAAAATTGCTATCCCAGCCAAACTTGCCAATTTTTTTTTTTTTTAATATTAATTTAAGTTTACAGTTTCAAAGAGAAGACGACATTAAATTGTTGATACATCCCGCACGTTACGCTGGATTGACTTAAACTAAGGCATTAACGCGTTGAAACTAAATCACACCTAGCATGTTCATTTCATCGATTTAAATTTTTAGTTTTAAATTTTTACAGTAAAAAATTTTCAGAAAATGTCACATTTAATTTTTTCTATTACAGTAAAAAATTCTCAAAAAATATCACATCTCAACTCAAATTAAAAATTTAAATCCGCGAAATGAACAAAACTTAGTGTTTAAAACATGTTCTAGGGGAAAATTTTGTGAGTTATTTATCAAAAATCATTAACGTCACCATTAAGCCATCAAAACTCACTGGTGGGACGACTTGAGAGTAATGAACTCTCCACTTTAATAGCCTCTCCATACAAATCACACATACCACTTCCATAACCCACACATGGCCCCCTCAATCTTTATATAGAGCATTTCACTTTAACTTAATGAGCTTGTATTATAGTTGGTCAATTTGGGCTTTATAATTTGTTCTAGAAGTTTTTTGACTCAATGAGCTCACCAAAATACTTACCACAGAGAGAGTTTATGACTTCATATGTTTCAAGCTAGTTAATAAAATGAGTATACATCTTATTAAGGCATGATATTTGACATACATGCATAAATACATTTATATTAACAAAATTGTCTATAACATACTTTAATTCATGATAAAGCAAATTATTATAATTACAAAAGTTTATATAAAAACATTCCAAACATAATGAAGTTATGAATATTTGAAATCCTTTTGTAAGGAGAAGAGGAGAATCCGCAATTTGCACAAGTCGTTCTGGTAAGACCATTTCATTAAAATTATGAGGATTGAAGTCAGCCTTCAATAAGTCAGCTTTCAATATTTCATTGGTTGGTCTCTTTTGGCTGCCGGTAAACACTTGGATCTCACACCTTCCTTTCTTTCTTTGGGGGTAATATATGAGATCAATACTGTTTTTTGTCCTCTTTTCATGATTGGTACTGGAATTGAAGCCTAGCCGTGTTTCCTATACTGCGAAAAAAAAATTAACAAGAAAATTAGTGACAAATTTTTTTAATCCACTCCACATCGGCAGTAAAAATGTTGAATCCATTCTTTAAAAAACAATAATAAAGTAAGACAAAGAAATGGTCAATTAACTTCTTCTTCTTCTTTTTTTTTGTAATTATTATTATTATTTTGGCAAGGGATTGGTCTTATATAATTTGTATGGTGTGTAAAGTAAAGGGATATCATGAATCATTTTTGCGGTCAAATCAAATATCTTTTATTAAAGTTAATTGGATTTTGAGACCGTCCACTTTTGAATAGTCCGATCAACCTGGAAATATCGTTGCAACTTCTATATTCATGGACCACGTTATTAAATACTCAAAACAGCGACCGCGCTTAAGGGGACAAAAAAATATAAATGAACAGAAAATAAAAGTTGCAAAAGGTATCCATTAGAAAGAGACGAGAAATATCCCCAAAAAAAAAAAAAAAAAAAAAAAAAAAAAAAAAAATTTAAACCAAATTTGGTGCCCCAAGCCACATGATTTGACACTCAAAGAAAGGGAAAGTTTATTACTAGCTAATAAGTCGTACCAATGGTAGAACTAGAAATTTTTTTATTTTTATTTTTATTTTTTAAGGAAACGTATAATTCAAATAAAAAATTTAAGGAAACCAAATTTTACCTTTATTTATCTGTTTGGCATCTTTATTATTTTCAAAACTTGAACACGTGGTGAGGAGCACCGGAAGTGTCTTAAAGCTTTACTATTTTCATAACACAAATTAAGATTACGTTTAATTTATAGGTTCAGAACTATAATTTATAATCCTGATTTTTAAAATTTAAATTTTTTATGAGAAAAAAAACACTGTAACGAATTAAGAATCATGATCCTAAATCAGGTCAGAACCCTCAAAATAAACGGATCATAAATTACAAGCCTTGCGATCTGCGATCTTCTAAAATCGTAGCTTGCCTCATGCTCAACACATGTTGTAACAAGCCTAGCTCGTGAGGGTTGTTAAAGCCTTGAGAGAGGGGGCAAAAAAGAGCAGGGTCTAAGGAAGTTGGTATCTACAAGACAATCGAAACGATGAAGAAACAGAGAAATGGAAATAGAAGAATTAATCAATAGAATATTCTGATTTCAAAGTCTAATAATTCGAGATTAAGAACAAATTGGCATCTGCACGAGTAAGTCGTGCGGATTTGAATCCAGAGTCTAATTGTGGTTGAGAACAATCAATGATATTAATGATTGAATTGAACTAATCGACACACAAGAACTTCTTTTTCTTTTTCTTTTTTGAAGGATGAGCATGGAATAACTAGTGGCTTCTTAACTTTACTTGATGTGCTCTATCTTAAACTTTATTCTTTGCAGTATGTTTGGTTAGACATAAAAGTGATGAGACTCAAGAATGAAAAGAGAAGATGTAGAAGAAAATCCCTTTATTTCAACTCCGTTTGATTGGAGGAATAAAGAGGGGAAATGATGGAAAGAGTTACTGGAATAAGAAAATGTGAAAGAATGAGAGATTATAGAATTCCAACTCGTATTGTTTGATAAGAGAGTAGAAAAGATGAATGATCATAATTTGACTAATTACGATAATGTCTATTTGTACCATTTGTTAATAAATTTTTTAGAGCGTAAAATAGTCTTTTAATTAAAGTATTATACTGATGGATATGCAAGAAAATCCTAAGTTAGATTTTACAACTTAAAATTTCCACAAGAAAAGATGATTGAAGGTTATTTAGTTAATTACCATTCCTCCTTCTATCTCTTAATTTATCCTCTAGCAAGACTATGTCATAGGAAACTAATTTTTATTAGGCAATCTTAATTAGTTAAATTTCTTCCTCACTATGGTTGACCTTTTCTAGCTCACTCTATATATTCTTATATTTTTCTCTTGCTCTTCCTTCTTATCTTTCTTCATAGCTAAGTACAATAACGCGCAAGTGATTGAGGCTATATAGATCTATATAAAAATAAATCCAAACATCGAAATCAGGTTAGTCCAAGCTAACAAAAAACCAAATTGATATATCACTTTTAATTTGTTGCTCTTCCTTCTTATCTTTCTTCATAACAGGAATTTACTTCGAGGTTTCGCAGGTTGAATACGTGAGAGATTTGGCAAACATGGACTTTAATTTGTAACAAGATTTGAAAAATAATTGATATAGCTTTCATAGGAGCTAGCATGTCTCCTATTGGAATATTTTAACGAGTCAATATCAAAGATATACTTCTCACCTTATATATATATATATATATATATGTATATATATATATATATATATATATATATGTATATATATATATATATATATATATTGTATTGAGAAATGTTTGGACACCATCAATATTAATCACTACAAATAAAAAAAGATAGATATTAATGTTATCTATATACCTTTATTTGTAAGATTGTCCTCCAACGTCATTCTATTGTTTTGTCATAAAGGCTATATTTTGGACTCTTTGGTTTGTTTTTCATTTACATTTTTTTGTTATTTTTCAAATCTCGTTTTTTTTTAGGGGCGGGGGTTTAGGTTTGGTATGTTCATTTAACAACTCAAGTCATAACTTAAGTTATGATTTAAGTTGTGTGTGAGAGAAAGAAATACTGTAATAAAAAGTTGAATTTGAATTTTTATGACAGAAAATACTGTAACAATAAAATTTGAGTTGTGAAATGAATAAGGTCTTCTTTTTATTGAGATATTTTAAGAAATGCCTAAAAAAAAACCTTAGATTTGGATTTAGATGAATATTAGAATTTTTTGTTCTGTGCTACACAGATGAACTGATCAAAAGTCAACAAAATGTGGTAGAATTCTAAACTCTAAATAAAAAAATATGGCATGTCACCTAATTAATTTTTTATTGTTGGAAAATGGAAATCCATGATTGGTGCCTTGTGGTACGATGATTGACCGACAACAACTTAAAATCAACTGACAGTAGCATGTTAAGAACTTGAAAATGCTTGGCAGGTTACCATCAGTAGCCAGGGTAAATTTGTCCCAACGTCCTTAATGTTTAGCAACGATATTGCATTATTTATTTCAACCTGGAACGTTAGTTGTTGTTTTGTTTCTACAAATTCTTACG